TTAGATCTATTTGACTATTGGATAGGCACAAACATGGATCCCATCCAGTTGGTTGGCCAGGTAACTCTCTTCCAACTATCTTGGCAGAGATAAGTGAGCACTTCTAATGTTGCATTCGTTTGTTGAAACATCTTAATTGGCATCCCTGGACCCTTGTTTTTCGCTAATGCCTTCAGTGCTGATTGGACTCCTGAAATGGTTTCATGCCAACAATACCACTTAGCAATTCTACTTCTAGCTAAATACTTGAAAGCAGGGACTCAAAAAGATACATGTACACCAGTGTCCGTTACTGAATTATTGTTCTCAATGGTTTGAATTTGTGTCCTCCTCCGCTTAAAATATGTGGTGGTCCTAACCCCTGTATCTGTTAACACAACCCAGTTTAGAAAGAGGGCTTTCTATTGTCATGTTAGTTAGGTCATACCAGCATAGAGTGGATCCTGTTGTTGTTGTTGTTAAGTGCCATCGAGTCGGGTCCGACCCATAGCGACCCTGTACAGGGTTTCCAAGAGTGTAAATCTTTATGGGAGTAGAAAGCCTCATCTTTCTCCCGCGGAGCAGCTGGTAGTTTCGAACCGCTGACCTTAAGGTTTGCAGCCCGATTCGTAACTAAACCTACTCATTTCTTAACGGTGTTTTATAAAAAGAGCAGAAGATACAGAGATACACAAGGTGGAAACAGACACCACAGAAAGACCCATCTACAAGCAAAGGGACACCAAGGATTGTCCACAGACACACAAAACTGAGAGAGACCCAGAGAAATAATCAATGTGGTTGAGACTTTAGTTTGAAATTTTAGCCTCCCAAACTGAGAAAATCAAATTCTGTTTCTTAAAGCCAGCTACTTGTGATAGCCCACCTCTTCCCACCCCCTAGAGAGGACTAAGAAATTAAGACACACCCTAAGTGTCATTCAAAAGAGAAATGGATACGCAAACTGTGGTGTACACATACAACAGCATATTATTTCAGCCATAAAGGTTGTTCTAATACATACATGAACCTTGAAAACATTGTGCTGCATGAAGTAAGTCAGACACAAAAGTCCAAATATTGTATCAGCCCACTTATATGAAATAGTAGAATAGACAAATGCAAATGTTTATTAGTGATTACCAGAGCCAAAAGAGTGGAGGGAATGAAAGTTATGGGTGAAGGAGTACTGAGTTTCTGTTAAGGTTTGATGAAATATTTTTGGAAAAGTATAGTGGTGATGAACTCCTAGTGTGGTGTTGTTGGATAAGAGTACTGGAAAAGAGAATAAGATTACCATCACTAACGAGAAGAGCCACTTGAATAAAAAAGATATTGAACAAATGGTTCAGGAAGCTGAAAAGTTCCTGAACTGAAGCTGAAGATGACAAACAGCAGGATGAGGCGTCCTCTAAAAATTCACTTGAATCCTATGCATTAAAAATGAAAGCAACAGTTGAAGATGAAAAACTTCAAGGCAAGATCAATGATGAAGACAAACAGAAGATTCTTGATAAATGTTAATAAAATTATCAACTGACTTGATAAGAATCAGACTATAGAGAAATTTGAACATCAACAGAAAGAACTGGAGAAACTGGAGGGAGAAAGTCTGCAACCCCATCATTACCAAGTTAAACCAGAGTGTGGGAGCCATGTGTGGAGGAATGCCTGGTGGCTTCCTTGGTGGTGGAGCTCCTCCATCTGGTAGCGTCTTCTAGACCCACCAATGAGGAGGTTGATTAAGCCAGTATCTGAGCATAGATACCTTAGCATTGTTCCACAGTAAAACACTGAAGGACCCAAACTTGCAACACATTCAATAGCAGTTTTAATCATTAGAACTGCTGTACTAAATTTCTGGGCATTCTCAATACTTGAATATGGAGTTATGAGCATAGGGAAAGGAAGTAACATTACACTTTATTATCACTGTAATAAAGTGGAAATGCAATGTCTTAAATAAAGTTGTATTTAAAAATGGCAAGAAAAAAAGAGAGAGAGAGAGACTATGGGCCAAGTGTTACACTGTTGGATAAGCACTGGACTGTTTACTGCAAGATTGGTGGTTCAAACCCACAAGCCGCTCCTATATAGGGTCACTATGAATTGGAACTGACTCAACCACACTTAATAACAACAAAGACAAATGTGTTACTGAGAGAACTTGTCTGCCATCCACTGATTGTAGAGAAATATTTGAACACATTTTGGGGGGAATAAACCTATGAATGCATGAGTTGGAACCCTAGTAAGCAATACATTTTGACTTCACTAGTATACCTGTGTAGATAGATTGGGGGCAGGGGAGGGTGTGTGGGAATGGAGTCTGACCTCCTCTTACTTCACCAGCAGGGAAAGAGAATCAAACTCAGCATCAGCCCAAGGTTGATTCCTATGAGGCTGAGGTTAGCCATGCCTCCACCCTCCACCCTTCTTTACAGATTCTGACACCAACATCCCTCCCACCGCACTCTGTGTTTCTCTACTGGGTTCAATAATCCATTGCAATGGTCACACTGAACTCAGAAATTATGCGCTTCATTGGGAAAGTTAACAGGTTATAATTCAGGATCAGAAATGTTCAGGATAAAGGTCTTTGGTCAGGACAGAATGTCTAAGAGCCACAACTCTTGAGTCAGGCAGTTGTGGGTTGCAATTCCATCTTCACTAGCTGTGTCATCTTGGCCAAATTACTCAACCACCTCAAACTTTATTTTTGACCAAATGCTTTATTAACTCCCTTGAAATTTATCTTCTTGTTAGAGTTGTTAGGTGCCGTAGAGTTGGTTCCGACTCATAGTAACCTTAATATAATAATATATTATTAATAGCAGTAATAATAATGTTGTTGTTGTTGTTGTTGTTAAGTGCTGTCAAGTCACTTCCAACTCATAGCAACCAACTCGTAGGGTTTCCGAGGAGCGGCTGGTGGGTTTGATCCACCAATCTTGCAGTTCAAACTGGCCTTGTGGTCCAGTACTTATCCTACAGGGCCACACCAGGACTTCTAATAGTAATAATATAGTATTTCATAATGAGAATATATTAAGAATAATGTATTAGGAATATATCCCTCTAATAACCATTAATAATCTGAATAATAATACCTCCCTCTCCTGGGTTTTTGAAGATTGCGTAAGATCACTTAAAATGCTGGACATCCTGTAAGTCCTCAATAAAGAAAAACAACCATCAATAAAGCAGTAAATCTGATTCATATCTGGCCAACAAGAGCAGTCAATTTTGCCAGTGTTGGTGAACAAAGAGAATGAAGTATGGAAAGGTAACCTGGGGTCAGACAAATGCGGATCTTTCAAGATAAGGAGAATTTTGGAGAAAAGGGAATAGAGTGAACAAGGTAGAAATCTGGGTTTAGGGGAGAGAGAGCATAGAGATACAGAAAGAGTGATTGATTCATTGCAGTCAGAAAAATGATTTGGGAGAGTAACGGAATATGAAAGAATTCATACAGATCTGAACAAAAATGAAGGGGAGTGGGAATGAAATGAAGAAGTTAATTTAGAGACTAGGAGGAACTGGGCAATTTCGCTCTTTGTAATTCATTGTGGTGGTAGCTGTATGCTGTCCTGCGTAGGGTTTCTGGAGTCCTGGTCCGCGGTTCAAATTCACCGGCAGCTCCTCGGAAACCCGATTGTTGTTATTGTTGTCAAGTGCTGTCCAGTAGACCCATAGCAACCCTGCATGGGGTTCTGAGGAGCGGCTGGTGTGCTTGAACCACCGACATTTCAATCCAAAGCGGCTTTGCATTCCAGAGCATTAACCCACAGCGCCATACCCGGAATCTGTGTCAGGCAATTAATTTTTACACAGAATTCCAAAATCGCAATCATATATTGCTCCTGGCTCACCTTTTCTGTTGGTGGTGGTGTTAAGGGCCATCGAGTCAATTCCGACCCATAACGACCCTGTATAGGGTTTCCAAGGAGTAGCTGGTGAGCTTGAACCACTGACTGACCTTGCAGTTCAAATGACTTTGCATTCTGCCTCATTAACCCACAGCGCCACACCAGGACTCCCACTTTCCTGTAGCCTCACTCTAATCCTATACAGGGTCGCTATGAGTCGGAACCAACTCGAAAGCACTTAACAACATGAATCAGAACCAACTCTACGGCACTTAACAACAACATAGGGTTTCTGAGGCTGTAAATCTTTAAGGGAGCAGAAAGCCTCATCTTTCTACAGTTTAGCGGCAGAAGGATTCCAACCACTGATCTTGCCGTTAGCAGCCCAGGGCTCCTTGGTGGTGGTGGTGGTGGTAGTTATATGCCTTGGAGTTGGTTCCGACTCATAGCGACCCTGTAGGGTTTCCGAGGCTGTAAATCTTTACGGGAGCAGAAAGCCTCCTCTTTCTCCCCGCGGAGCAGCTGGTAGTTTCGAACTACTGACCTTGCGGTTCGCAGCCCGATTCGTAACCACTACTCTTACCAGAGCTTCTTCCAGGGCTCCTTAGAATCCATTAAAGTTTCCTCTGTCGTCTGGCACTCCCTTTACACTGAGTGAGCTTCATATCCAGAAAGTTGCACAATGCCAAGCACACAGTAAGTGCTTAATAAATACTTACAAAATGAATTTTGATGATGGGAAGGAGGTAAAAAAAAAAAAAATTCTACGAGTACAGCGTAGATGACTTAGAAAATATGGACACTGGTTGGACCTGCAAAGGAAATAATTAGTGTACATTTTGGAGTCTTATCAGTTTTAGGATCCCATGTGTTCTTGATTAGCAAGAAAGCTCTGAGAAGAGATTGTGGGTGGGTGTGGGTGAGAGCTACGCCATTGTGAGACCATCAGTATAAAATCATTAGCATAAGAATATCTACTGTAGTCTCGTGGGCGGAAGGAAGCTTTAAGCGAGAAACAGTCCCCGGAAGTGACATCAGTAAGAGACTTGCCATAGAAGCGAGAGACGGCATTTTAGAGAATAAGCTGCACTAGGAGCTGGTCAAGTGAGAGGCTATAGGAAGGCGATCCAGGGGAAATATAGGATTAGAAGTATGAGGAGATTCAAAAGAGATTGGTCTTATAGGGACAGAACAAGAGAACGGAGGGCTGTCTATTATGAGGAGCCACACAGCAGCCAGTGGAGGTAAGAGATCCGGTGGCGATAGCCGTTGGCGTCAAAGTCTTTTTAACAAGTGGTTTCAAGGCTGTGGGAAGCCACTTGTAAGGGTAAATGAAATTGTTTCCTCTTGAATCCGGGTTCGTTTGCGATCTTAGATAAACGGCTTAACCACTCTGTTCCTCAGTTTCTTCGTAGCTCTAAATTGGAGATGATCATCTAACAGCAATTACTTCACGGTTATTTTAAGGAATAAATAAGGGAATATGGATCAAAATGCTTGGAAAAAAATACCTCGCAAGTGGTTACGCCGCAATAAAATTTGAGCTATTATGAGTAGGTTTTGGACGAATTAATTCGTTGGTGAAAAGGCTATGAGTTGTACTTCAGACGTAATTTTCGTTTGGCGTCTTCAATAAACTTAAAAATGTCTATCACAGTGGAGGTACTCAAGGGGCCTTTTCCATTGACTGTGGCTAGCTCAATGTCAAATAATAATTTCAAGAAATTCACTGAGGTGTTGGGACAAATTGAGTAAGAAACCATTCTTCCAGAATGTTCCCAAACGCTAAAGTTCTTGACTTTAAAGTCATGCGCAGTCATTATTGCGCGCTTTTACCCTAGCCCCACCCCCTTTTCTTTAGGTTACCGACACTGTAGCTTTCATCGTTGCTCATTGGTTTTCGGCGGGCCTTGGCCCCGCCCTCTGGAGCAAATAAGCCCCCTCATTGGATCCTTTCAATGGTGTGTTTTTCTGCTGTCCCTGGGCGCGCGATTGGAAAATTGGATGCTTTCATGGAGCCAGTTTGCAAAAGCAATGTTATTTTTCTTTTTAAACCGAGTACTGTGAATAAAGCGCAAACGACTAAGTAAGACGGACGGGAGGGGGAAGTCGGAACTGAAGGGAGATACTACTTAAAGTTGGAACGTCGGGGTGCTTTATAAAACGGACCAAGCGACTTCCGGAAGAGAATGGGCGGGTAGAGAATTCTGTGCGTTTGGCGGGTTTTGCGCTCTTCCTAAATATGTGATCATACCGAAGCCGAGGGCCGCGGATACGTGAAGAAGTAGTGACGCCGCCACTGCGGGATCACGCTGCTTTGAGCTCCCCGATGGCCTCGTCTGTGGTGAGTGTTCATTCTGTGACCGGGTTCCTGGGAGCCAGGGCTTGGGTGGTTTAGGGGCGGGGCCCCGGGCTATTGGTCACGTGGGCCCGTGGCGAATCCGGGCTCTGGGGTGGAGCCCACTCTCTGCAGCCCCTCCCCTCTGCCGTCTGCGGTCTAGGTATTTTCTGTCTGGTGTCGGGAAGGAGCCTGCGGAGGTGACTAGGGAGAGGAGAGGGTGTTGAAGCTTGTTCATGGTTTGGCATCACCTCTCGACTACCTCCCTCGCTAAAAATCACTTTAGCTGACCTGAGAAGGAAATGAAACTGGTGATTCATTGCTCTTAATTCTAATGATAGGCTGGGCTTGGTATATGGCTGGGGAAGAAGGTACTTAAATCTTTTGCATAAGAAAAAGGCAATCTGAATTTCTTGCCTTGGGTTTTACAATTCTTTACATATGCTCCTGAATGTTTATGTAATGTGAGATTTTTCTAAGTAGTTAGACTATGTATTTTCCTATGTAATTCTTTGAACTTCATCCTCTTCCCCTACCCCCTAATTCAGCAGCTTTTGAGTTTGGTCGCAATTTCTGGGCTTGAGTTTTACTAGCTTACTGGCAAATTTACCTTTATTTAAGGTTCAGGTAGCTTCCTTTTGATTCAGGTGCATATTGTAAAATAGTGAGAATCTGAAGTACTTATTTGACATACACAGGACAAATTTGCATGTGAGTTAACGAAAACTCAAATTCACTCCTGTAAAGGAGACCTTATCACTAGAAATAGTGAAATTAAAAACACACACACACACACAAAAAAAAAACAGTAAGCCCTGGAGGCCTAATCTTTAAAATGCCAACATTTATAGGAAAGAATATAGACTACGTAATACAGCTACAAAATGGTTGAAATAACTTGTCAGCTTCTGTTGGGGGTTTTGTGTTTGTAGGTGGTTGGGTTGGAGGAATGTGTTGTCTATACTTCTGATATTTTTCTTGTAGGATTTTAAAACTTATGTAGATCAGGCCTGTAGAGCTGCTGAGGAATTTGTCAATATTTACTATGAGACAATGGACAAAAGAAGAAGGGTGAGTGTTACAGAGTCTGCTACTGTGTATTAAATACCAGTTCTTTTTTTAGCCAATCATTCATCTGGTATGTGGAAGTGCTAACTGTGGACTTGTTCTTTAAAACCACATGGGGGTGTGGGCGCTAGAATCATATCCCAGCTTCGCCCTTGAACAACTTACTATAACCTCTCTTAACCTCATTTTCTTTTTAGGGTGGTAAGTAGGAATTAATTTAAATACTGCACTTAACATGGGGCCCAACATATATTTATTTAAATATTCCCATCACTTAAAAATATATATATATAGTATTTGTGATAAGGTCTCCTTTACAGGAAATGGTTCCTGATTGGCCCCTATTCATGTATTAGTAGATAATTTCTGATATCATTAACAGAAGGAGGTACATGGCTTGGGTCCTTTTTGTCTTCAGCATACCAAGTTCTTGCTTCATCAGCTCTTTTGGTTGTGATTTGTCCTTGATACACACCATCTAAGTAATTATTTCAGCATGACCTCTAGTGAACCTTGCCTAGGTCTCTTATCTGAACCCTTTGGATCCTGCTACTTAGATGAAATCAGGGCACAGTTTCATTCTGCCTTGTCTTGACTATCTTTTCTGACTTGTTGCTTTAAATAATAATAAATAAGACAACATAGTTCATTACCAGAGTCAAAATATGTTGGCCTGTTCATCCAAGTCTGGTGTGGTGCTGGTTAATGCGCCAGACTGCAAAGCTGTTTGAATTGCAAGGTCAGCGGTTCAAGCTCACCAGCTGCTCCTCGGAAACCCTATACAGGGTCACTGTGGGTTGGAACCGACTCAAGGACACTTAACAACAACAACAATTCATCCAGCTTAAATTTTAGAATTAAGTAGTGTGTCTTCTTGCCCCAAAGAATTAACTGTTGGATTTTACTGTGTCTGGGCCTTAACTTATTTGTCTTATCAGAGGTTCTGCTTAAGCAAATATGTATGATTCCTGTTAACTGTGTTAATGTTTGAAGTATGCTGATGGAATAGTAGTGAAGAGAAACTGATTCCTGCTCGTGCATTCAAACATTTAAATGATTCAAGTTTTCTTACTTGGATTACACTAGAGTGAAGTACAAGGAAGGGCTTGATTGACAACTTCGTTAATTCTCAGAATTTCTTTTATAGAAAAGGGAAAGAGATTACAACTGGTTTGGGGCTATATGTGCTTGGAACTTGTGGCCATTAGATTTATTTTAATCAAGAAAACAAACCATCAAAAGTCTTTCTTTTGCTTTAACAACAATAACAACAACACTTAAAGGTCGCTATGGGTTGGAACCGACTCGATGGCACTTCACAACAACAACAAACCCTTGAGTCTGTTTTCACCATAGGAACCCATGTGACACAATAGGGCTGCCCCATAGGGATTTCTAGGCAGTAATCTTGATGGAAACTGATTGCTGGGCCTTTCTTCTGTGGAGCCACTGGGTGGGTTTGAACTGCCAAACTTTCTGTTAGCAGCCTAGTCTTTAACCATTGAGTCACCAGGTCTGAACTATAAAATATTTTTATACCGTCTGTAACCCTTTTAGTCATTTCTACAAAATGCTTACTCCAAAACAAATCTTTCTCTCTCTCTCTCTCTCTCTCTCTCTCTCTTTTTTTTTTTTTTCCTTTCTTTTTAGGTACTAACCAGGCTGTATCTGGACAAGGCCACTTTAATATGGAATGGAAATGTTGTCACTGGGTTGGAAGCCCTGGCAAATTTTTTTGAGATGCTGCCTTCTAGTGAGTTCCAGGTCAATATGTTAGATTGCCAGCCAGTTCATGGTAAGATTAGGGTCTTCCGAGGTACTGTTTTTATGGTTTTGTGTTCCTTTACACTGAGCTTTTATACCCAAAGCAGAATAAGCCACTTTTATTGATGGAAGTCTTTACATATTTTATGAAAGTGAAAAATTCCGCTGTTTAATCCAACTTTGATGCTTCTTATTCCTGAGGGCTGCTAGTAGGTTTTGGTGGAGTATGCAATTCTGACTTGTTAACAGTTAAGACTGTAATTTTTGTTAATGGAGATGAGAGATTATGTTTTCCCTAAATAGATGGTTGCCTGCTATGCAATGGAGTGTCTCCAGAGAAAAATTACACCATACTTCTTATTAATGTCTTTTAGTATCTTCTAAAAACCCATGGCAGTTGAGTTGATTCCAACTCATAGTGTTCCTACAGGGCAGAGTAAAAAACTACCTCACAGAGTTTGCAAAGCCGTTATCTTTATAGAAGCAGACTGCTGCCACATCTGTCTCACATGGAATGGATGATGGATTTCAACTGCCAACCTTTTTAGTTAGCCAGCTATTCCACGGGAGAAAAATGAGGCTTTCTGCTCCCGTAAAGATTTACAGCCTCGGAAACCCTGTACAGGGTCGCTGTGAGTTGGAACTGACTGCACGACACGTAACAACAACCACCACTGCACCACAGGGTTCCTTTTAGTATCTTTGTTGTTGTTAAAGGGCCCTCAAGTCAGTTCCAACTCATCGCTACCCTTTGTTCGGGTTTCGGAGGAGCGGGTGGTGGGTTTTAACCACCGACCTTATGGTTAGCAGTGCTTGTCCTACAGCACCACACCAGAGCTCCAAAACAGGTAGTTGATGCAGTTTATCCAAGTGTGTTAAGTAATGGTTTAGGGTGATTTTTTTTTTTCCCCCTTTGCAATTCTTGAAAAGAAGGATAACTTCAGATTCAAAATGTAAATAAGCATCAATAAAAACCCAATTAAATATTCATATAGCAAGTGAATGGACTTATGCTAGATTTAAGTTTTTTATTTTGAAAATTTGAGATCCAAAGATCTTTCCAGACTGGAAAATAATTTTAATACCTTATTTAGTTTTCTGATTCTGGATCTAAGTACATGCTCAAGGTAAAGGAAGTTTTTGAAGCCATTCTTTTAGTGTTACATCATAAACAATGAAGTTTAGGCCTGAAATAGCTGCGTATTTATATCTAGAAACTGACTTTTTTTTTTTTTTTTTTTTGATGCATTAAGAACAAGCTACTCCATCCCAGACCACAGTTCTTGTTGTGACCAGTGGATCTGTGAAGTTTGATGGAAACAAGCAACATTACTTCAACCAGAACTTCCTCCTGACTGCTCACTCCACTCCTACCAACACCGTGTGGAAGATTGCAAGTGATTGCTTCCGCTTTCAGGATTGGGCTAGTAGTTAAAGGGGGCAAAGGTTCATTCTCCTTTAGTCCATTCAGTTCCATCAAAAGAAATGTATGTGACTTCAATCCATTGAATTGTACACGCACTATAAAAACTAGTATGTGCTAAAAGGAAGTCTTTAACGTGCTTGATTCTTAGCAGCATCTTTTCTAACAGCTAATCCCCAGTTGGGATTGTTGCCCTTTTAAGAGCTTTAATGCTAGTTAGTTTATATTTTTCAACACACCTTATAGACATCCCACTACTAACTTTTTGATAGTAAATGTTACACATATGATCTCTTTACTAACAATACTCACTGTGAATTCAGCCCATCGCAAAAAGAAACAAAAGTATTATTAAGAAAATCGTTTTGTAATACTATCAGAGGTTAATCAGCACATCATAACTGTGGGAAGAAGTGGGTGTTTTTCTAGTTACTAGGTTAATTTTGTAATAAAACATAAATGCATAAGCGCTCATTTTCAGTAAACACTAGTAATGTAGTTTTCATAATGGCTTTTTCATATCAGTTCAGTTGGAAACATTACTAATTTAAGTGTGCATAACTATGACATACTGGAATTGCATGCAAAGATGTTCAGTAGTTCTTTTTACATGTTAAGTAATGTTTTTTATGTTAGCATGATCTTTATTTATGATGTGAATTAGTACAGTAAAAGAGGATACATCATGTTCTCTGATAGATCTGAGTACTGGGCACATTTGGTGGCTTAAAAGCAAAACTTCTTTAAAAAGGTTTTTTTTCTTGACTGCTCTAGGCCTGTAACTTGAGGTTATGAATGATAGGAGTTTAAGTGTGAGAATGCGAAGTGTTAAGATTCAAGATTGGAACCAAAATTAAGGAGGGGTGGCCAAATGCTACATTTTTGGCACTTGTTTTCTAACTCTTAAAAATGTGTTGTTGTCTTTTTAGGTTTTCAATCACAAGGTCACCCATATCCTTGTCAAACGGTCATATGAGTCTCACATCAGTTCGAAACATGATTTTTTTTTAAAGGTTTTTCAACATACCTCATATTATCACCAATATAAGTCTCAATTTATTCAATAATTACAGCGTCAAATGTCAGCAATAAGTCTAACCCTGGCAGCTAGAGTCTAGCAGGAAAGTTGGAAACAAAGCCATTGTCATTAGTAACAGGACACATCTCAACTTCTAAAATCTCCCATGTGAACTTTAGGCCAAAACTCCACCAGGTGTTAATACCCAACAAGAGAAGTGATTTTACCTCTGAGTTTTATATTGTCAGCTGCGTTATTTTTAAATTATTTTTATGGTACATCCTTCTGTATGGTATTGAACAGAGATTTATTTTAAAACATTCTGTTAGGTGGCTAACTCTTTTGACTTTTTAAAGGGAAAGTGAATAACAGATCTTTATAATAAACTTACACAATAAATTGATTAATTGGTATCTCAATTTCTCATGAGAAAGAAATATACCTTTGGTTTTTGGTTAACTTCAAGCATCTTTTCCTTTCTTAAAAATTACTTTAAAAATGTTTTTAAGCTGTATTTGCTAGCTTTGTTTCTACAGTATAACTCAAAATTAATGTTTCTTATCAACTGAATTTTAAAACCAATAAAACGTTACCTCTGCCCCCAATTGCGCACACTACATTTCTGCCATATTGACAAAATAAGGGACTAGAACTGAAGTTTAGAAATGACCCATGCCTTCATGCAGTTTAAACTCAAACACTTTATATTCTAACCAAAATGAGTCCATTATTTTAAATTGGCTTTTTTAAACTACAGCTTTAGCAACAGTTTGAATGCCTAAATACTACCATTGCCTTTAGGGAGAATGGCCTCAAATAGAAGTTGCCTATAACTAGCAATAACTGAATCTTGAACGGTTGTGTACTATTCACTAGCTATGTTTTTAAGACTTTTCATTTGAATGATTTTTCCAAGTTCTGTATAACTTAAATTAGCTGGAATTACTCTATGTGTGGATTATATTTTAAATATGCTCATATTTTTATAACTTAATAAAAAAAATTTAAAAAAAAATCTGCCTTGTGACAACTTTGATCAAGCTCATTCTTAAGATCTTGTGAGAAATTAAAAAACTCCAGAGTAGGTACTTGTTTCTTTACAATAAAAGGTTTTTCAAATAGGAAAAAAATTAATAATGTTGGGATGTTGAAAACAATGGTTGATAACTTGGACTTTTTCTTTGCTGTCTTGTCTTTTGCTCAACCTATTTCTCTTTTCATACCAAGTATTCATTTTTCCTGTGAATACCTCTGTGGTCAAAGTACTATTTTGATGAGCAGATAGAAATTGTAGCCTTGAGGAACTAGTCAAAATGCTCTATTAAGTCAAAACAAAATACAGTTGTTTCCCGGGATGAATAGTCTCACTGTCTTTAATTCTACATTTAAAATATGTCAGCAGTCTCGTTTGGATAGGAGTGAGAAAAGGCACTAACAGCCCTTGAAATCAAATACCATTATTTCATGTCTTCAAAAATGGCACATATTTTTCACATTTTAACACCCTGGAAATATTGTATGATCTTAAATTGATGGCAGGTCACTTTAATTGGCTTTTCCCCCCTTTCTAATAGGTTCATAAAATAATAGTGAATCTAACAAATTATGGCATCTTAAGAATAATGAAATGCAATCATACATTTTGCCAAGACAAAAACGGTTAGAAGTCTACTTAGATCTAAACGTGGAGGCATTTGTATAAGCTAAAGATGTTAGAAATTCGTGACTCAAAATCTGTCATGTTACTTGTATTTCGTGCCCAACCCATATGGTTGGACCTTATTTAAGTATACATGTACTCGGTGAATTTGAGTCATCATATTAATTGTTTCCAAGTTTTGGGGAATTGCTTATTAATGTTTGGTGTGTCTAAAAAAGAAATCAACCAGTGGAAGGGAAAGTGGCAAGTTTGGAACAAGAGCTAGACGTGAAGAGCCAAACAGGTACTGTGAGTTTTACTTGGAATTTTGCAGAATTGACTATTGCCCGAAGTTAGCGAGGCAGAAAATTTGATAGAAGGGAACATAATTTGTGAAATTTAGTAGTAATCATAGCGTAGTGGTTACAAGTCGGGCTGCCAACCTGAAGTTGAGCAGCTCGAAACTACCAGCTGTTTCTCGGAGAAAGATGAGGCGTTCTGCTTCTGTAAAGACTTACAGCCTCGGAAACCCTGTGCAGGGTCACTGTGAGTCGGAACCGACTATGCAGTACTTTAACAGCAACAACAAGGTTTAATCTACAGGATCGAAAGAATAAGCATGGGTGTGCTTTACGTAACCTTATGTGTTTAGGGGGAAACGGTAGGGCATTTGGCTTTCTGATTGGACAGTTGGCTCTGTACAATTAAAAGACTTATTCAAAACACTTGATACCAAACTGCTGTATTCTGTTAATTTCAGTTAATAAACACTTGCCCTTCTTTGCCAGATGCAGCTTTCTGTACAAAAGATTTCCTTGGTGACTATAATAGTGTACATAGATCAGTCTCCATTCCTAGTGGAGTACTAAAGGGGAAGGGAAAGGTTTTGTGTGAATAAGATGTGTCAGATGTAGGGTCTTTGGAGACAGCATGCATCTAAGAGTGAGGTACGTTTGATCTCATTCTTTGTGGATTTTCTATTTGTGAACGCACCTGCTTGCTAAAGTTTATTTGTAACCCAAAGTCAATATTTAGAGTGCTCTCGCAGTTATTGGCGAGCAGCGAAAAACGGGAGTCACTCAATGTGTACCTTCCCAGCTGAGGTCAAAGAATGCTATGGTTTGCTTTCTTGTTGCAGCTTTTGAGCTCTGTAAGTGGTCATTTTCACAGTCTATCTAGTGCCAAGGTTTTCACATTTTTTGTTAGTGATTTTGTTGTTTAAAACGGCCCCCAAACGTAGTTCTGAAGTGCAAGTAAAGTGTGATTCCCCTTATGGAAGAAATTATGTGTTAGTTCTGGCATGAGTTACAGTGTTAATAAATGAACAATATGGTATAGCCCGAAAAAGAAGCCTGTATATAAAAGTGCTAAGAAATCAGATGTTTAGTCTTGCTGCAGAATCTGGAAATAGGATGAAAGCAGTTGAAACTGGGAAGAGACTGCCATATTTCAGATGTCCAAGCAGAAAATTAGGAAGGTAATCCTATGGTATTCTTTTGAACCTGGTTTGATATTACAGAAAGTATTTCTATAAATTTTAAGACAATTTCATGTGTTTTTTTTTTTCTTTCTTTTCCCTCTGCCCTTGAACACTCCAAATATCTGCATATAAACACCCAAGATTTGACAAAGGCTATGGTTGCTGTTGTGAAGTGCCATCAAGTCGGTTCCGACCCATAGTGACCCTGTATAGGGCTTCCGAGGAGCAGATGGTGAGCTTGAACAGCCGACCTTGCAGTTCAAACGGCTTTGCAGTCTGGCGCATTAACCCACAGCGCCACACCAGGACTATGGTAGAGGGTCACTATGAGTGGGAACTGACTCGATGACTCTTAAGAACAACATGTCGTCGTGGGCTAGATGTTGAGCTGCTAAGTGCAAGGTTGGCATTTCAACTCCCCAGCTGCTCCAAGGAAGAAAGATGAGGCTGGTGAGTTTGAAACTTCTGTCAGCAGCTCAATGCCTAACCCACAGCGCCACTATAACCTTTAATGATTTATAGCCCTTGAAGATGTATAATCTTGGAAACCCCATATAGGGTTGCTATAAGTTCATACCTACTCGACGGCAGTGAATATGTATGGTGGTCTGTAAAGTGAGAGGGTTCCAGACCTAAAGGAGATCTGTATTCTAGGGCCATTCTGACCTTGATCAGCTTTGTGACCCTACACAATTCACTCACTCACTGGGCCTCTGCCTTCAGCTGTTGGATGTTGACATTATTTGCCCTGTGTCCCTACGTGCTTGTGAGGATCAAATAAGATAACAAATGTGAAAATACTTTGAAAAGTGCAGAATTCTGTACAAGTATAATGGTTCTGTGTTTGGGAATGTGTCATAGCCATAGGCTTCGTG